GAGTGCAGTTTCTAATACAAGCTCAAATTACCCACCCTAGTCTACCTCGTACTTCAAGCCCTGTGCAATTTCCTGGAATAGATACTATAGATACTAGTTACCAGTTGACAAGGCGACAAAGAAGAGGAAGGAGAGGGACACTTAGTATAGTGCGGACATTCTAATGATAATTTTATGTTTCAAAGACTGCATAACTATTAGATCATTGAAGGGTGGAACGTATGGCTCTCATGCCAATATGATTATTTCCCCTCTCGGAACAAAAAAAAAAGGAGCAGGAATGGGCGCTTTAAATTCAAAATTCTTACAACATGGCTCAACAATTCAGGATTCGTCAATTTTCATTCTGGCTTACCGATAATGTTGTTCCCAAACCACAGGTTGTCCATGAGTTTCGAATGCCCCCCCCCCCCAAAAGCCCAAAAGGTCTCTCGAATCAGGTGAGTCATATTCACTAACACAAAGACCATTTTTGCCAGAGACATTGGTGTCATAAGTAAATGTTCGGAAGGAACATTGCCAGGACAGGAGATACCATCTTAACTGTGCATATCACGTGTTCCTATTTATGGGAATTTTATATTTCACAGACTTTGTTCAACGGTTATAAAGGGCGACTAAGATACCACGTTATTTGTTTCATTGCATGAAACAAGGTGCACATTGGGCTATCATAAAGTATGGTGTTTCGTTCATTCGTCTTTTTTGTATAATATGTGCTTATCTGTCTGTCTGTACCCCCAGGGGCGGTGCCACTGACTGAAGTGTCTTTAATTCCCAAAGGGGAGACATTTCTCGTTCATGCAGAGTAGATTCATCAATGTTATGCTGTGTCTGATCTACAGCAGGGAACTGCTGCTTTTTCTTTCCTAATCCTTACTATTGTCATGTTTTCCTCTACTTCTTTTGTATGTTTGTCACACTCTTGTGCCCCACTATTTCCGGGGTGCCTTGATAGTCGAAGCAGACTTTGTGCTGTTGAAGCTAGAGAGGTGAGCTGAGTAAGTCTGATTCCCTGTAAGGACTTCTCTGTTGACATCCACCCCTTGGCGCTCATATGACCATATGCAGTTGCGAGCGCCGTATAACCTCTACTAAACTGTCTGTCTGTTGTGATGACAGTCTTTCCTTCCGTAGTGAACAGTGCTACTTCGAATTTGCGCGCTTGCTTGTGTGTGTGTGTGTGTGTGTGTGTGTGTGTGTGTGTGTGTGTGTGTGTGTGTGTAAGTGTGTGTGTGTGAGAGAGAGAGAGAGAGAGAGAGAGAGAGAGAGAGAGAGAGAGAGAGAGAGAGAGAGAGAGAGAGAGAGAGAGAGAGAGAGAGAGAGAGTCGATAGGAGAGTCAGATAGCATCTGTCAAAATGTACCTACAGATTTACTACTCATGTACACCCTGTTAGACCATCACCGATATAAGGAATGTTTACCGATCAAAAGTTGACAGCCCAAAGAATGATATTATTTATTATTTCTCAAACTTATTAAAAGAGCAACGGCGGATTCAAAGTTTCTATTTTCGGAAAAAAAGCTGCGGGCAAATCACGATTTCCGAACATTTCTATTTACCTTACCAAGAGCATTCCCGAAACTAACGACGTCATGGGAACACGACTGTCAGCATACCCAATTCATCTTATGACGTCATCACATTATGTATGACGGAATAAGTGGCCCGTAAATATTAGAAACATCAAACGTATGCTATTTAAAGCAAAAAAAACAACAAAAAAAATCATGGCGAAGGTATGTATTGTATATAACCAAAAAAGTTCAGGCTTTAGTCTACAATATCCTTTAAAAAACCCTCACGTTCAATTAAAGAATGTCTAGGCTTTATATTATATGGACACTTAATAATATTATTATGGATCACTGAAGAAAGGCAATTTACTTTTGCAGATTTTTTTTTGTCCTGTATGTTTAAGTGCTTTCAATGGCAAGGCACCTTCACGTTCAGAAGTAAAACTGATTCAACATATTTATTTAGATCTAGCTAAAATGATGGTATCATATTTAAACTATGTGTCGATATTCTTTCAGCGTTCCGTGTACAGACTGTGCAATGCTTTTCTTGTGATCAAATTCATTCTGTTGAAACATAATTTATGAGCTGATGATCAAAGACAGCAACAATGTCAATGTATGCATTTTAATTGATGTTTGCTACTCGATATGTCATATCTAGTTTACTCCCACGTTGTTTTTTTGGCACCGCGTGCTTGTCATCTCTTCATCTATCACGACATCAAGTATTGTGAACTGATGCGAAGAGCCGGGCCCCCTTAATATTTCCTATTGACTTTACTTAGTGAAGCGTACAGCGTTTAAACGCCGTGTCACAAGTTGAATACATAGTAAAAAGGTATATTATATAAAGATATGTGTGTTATGGAAGCTCACACCAGTAGCATGCAAAGTTTACTGGTTATCTTAATCTTAGCCCAGTTCGAGTTTTCTTTTAATTTCAAATTGAAAAGAATATTTTCCTACTTGTTTTTCGTCATGTTTTGGGTGACAAATATCCGCATGTGTTCATGTCATTATATGCCGTTAAAGTATTTCGACATGCACGTTGACTTAACGAGAGAGGGTGCTTGGGAGGCGTTTTTCTGTGGTTCGTTTCTTGTATTTCTTTTAATTGTTATACTATAGGCCACCTATCTCAGAGATAAAACGGCGTTTTGGGAATACCATTTGATACAATCCACCAGTTCATTCCAAGATTTGAGACTGAACACGTATTAATTTGTTTTCACAGGTCAGAATAAATGGTTGGTATCAATCCTTAAATTTTAAAGTTTTCCTCTCCAGTTTTGTTAATTAGAGTGAAACTTGTTACTGTATTAATTTCCTCATTAGCCAGACATAAATACGGATAAGAGAAATACAAACATATAGTTGTGAACGGCAACCATAATACTCGCAATACCACATGCACGAGAGTGTTGTACAGTATTGTGGTATAACTTCGAGAAAATGTTCCATGAAAAGAGAAATAGGGTTAATTTTAGTTTTAAAAAATGGACGGACTGCTCTGTCAACCTAATCTGTTCTTGACGACATGTAGAACTCACGCTGAGAGAGGCTTGAGCCTTGATTGTTGTTTGATTGATTATTGCCCCCCCCCCCTCCCCCTGCTGTTCCATCAGATTATTTTTGGGGTAAATGTATTACGGCGCTCGCAACTGCATAAGGTCATATGAGTGCGCGGGACACATTAAACAGTTTAGGTTGGTAGGAAATTTTGAATTTTGCACGGGAGGAGGCCAAAGCCTACTCTTATCGATTTTAGACTACCAAGGGATTTTTAACGTGTGTAACTTGCAAAAAGGGACCTCCGAGATTTTTCGCCCTTGTCCGAGAAGGCTAGGTGTAGATCTTTCCTACCACAAGATCAGGGGTGTGGCTGTAAGACAGCAGTAAGGTGCCAAGGAGTACAGTAGAAAGACTGCAGAAAGAGTCAGAAGCCCAGAGGAGGGGGCGAAGGAGGTGAGGGGATGGAGGCAGAAAGTGGAGACGAAAGCAGACGACAGAACATTGCTAGAGAGCAGGAAAGGTGGGAAAAAGAGACAATTTTAGAGAAGAAAAATTTTCCGTTGCTACCCGGATTCAAACCCGGGACCTTTGAATGAGAGGCGAACACCTTAACCTCTAGGCCACTGGAGCCCCCGTCAAATCTGTAAATTTCCCTCTGCCAAAACTCGCAGTTTTCTTCAAATACCAACCCAAATATATGTACACTGTACCTGTTTATAGACAATGCTCAATGTAAATAGTCTCTGCCCGTGTGCATGTGTATGTGTGTGTGTATGTGTGTGTGTGTGTGTGTGTGTGTTTGTGTGTGTGTATGTGTGTGTGTGTGTGTGTGTGTGTGTGAAGTATTTTGTTCCCACAATTACCCATTATTACCAATGTATTTATCTACCAGTGTATTGTTTTCAGGACTGAAAAGGTCTTTATATAAACATTCAGTTTGACTCTTTCAATGATAACTGGCTCATATTTGGCTGTGACTGTTGACACATAAGTAATAATACCTGCAAATCTTCCTTGTCGTCTGTTGAAAAGTTTTTTGTATGCTGCTAAATGTACTGTACAATAATCTTATGTAACTTATATACACATACATTTCAATCAAAACAGGCTACTACTTTAAGACACCCTTGGAAAGTAAACTAATATCCACCCCCTTGCATAAAACCCTTTTATTTGTAAAAACGAAACTGGTCAAATTGATATATCACAGACGGTATCGAAGAGAAGCTGACTCAAAGTCTACACAAAAACTACGTGATGATGCGTTCCTACGTTAGAGATGTAAAACAAACTGCGCAAAATAAATGGCGTCCGGTGTATTACTGCGCGTAGACAGGAACTTACAAACATTGACTGCAAAGAATACGAACCAGAGAGGTAGTACGAGCACAGATTGGTCTCAAAGAAAGAGTCACCAAACTTTTCCCTACGAAACGGGCCGGATAACTGAGTGAAGGCAGAGCGCGGGGCCGGACAACTGCTATGTTTTTCAATACAGTTGTGCTGAATGCGTAGAAATAAAGACAACTAACCATTTGACTTATCAATATACAAAGTACAAAACATAGAACAAAATGAAGACAGCTAACATATTTTATATTTTTGGAATCCCCGTTTGTTGGCCACCCAGGATGAAAGTGGGATCTCCGTTTGCTGTTTGAAATGTGTGGAATGAATGGTTTGTCACATTGAAATCGAGTGAGAGTGTGGTACATACTTTAGCTAAGAGTCATGAAGTCTATAAAAGCACTTTTAATTTGAACTATAGAGTTAAATGAAAGGATTACATTACTTTGTTCACCAAGTCCTGGGCACACATTTTCCAAGTTGTTATTTTCTCCAACATGGTGGCATGGCAGCAGGCCAGACGACTTGACCTTGCAGACTGGATCCGACCTGTGGGCCGTAGTTTTGGTGACCCCAGGTCTAAAACAACTTCCATTGACAAACGATACAATACATCTTTTTCAGTGTTGTAAAACAACAACAACAACAACAACAACAACAAAAACCCAACAATAAATAAATACGAGTACGCAATCTTAGAAAACGTTCGACTTCGGAGGTGGCCTAGGAAAACGTGCATATTTTTCATTGACTATGCAAATTAGAATTTTGTTTTAACCATACAACAAGCCTGCACTGAATATTACATAATTGTCAACACATTTTATTTGGGGGTGGGGGGGGGGGGGGGGGGGGGGGTGGTGGGCGTGAAGAGATATACACAAAGGTCATGTTGGTGAATAAGAATTTGGTTGGTGTACACTTGGCAAGAATGGTGAAGAAAGACATCAGTTGGAATCTTTTATGTATGTGAACCCATATTTTTTTTCTCTATCAGATGGGGCCTGACAACACAGACCGAGGTTAATGTTTTATCTAATGTTCTAATGTTCTTATGTTTCAATACATCAATGTAATGGTTTGCAAAGTATTCAGCATATACATGCATAAGAATATCTAAATGAATGGGTATTAATAAAGGTGATGTATCATTTACTACAGTTCTTTGAAGTCTTTGCTTTCTTTCTTTTCAGTATATATCAGTGTTGTTATCTCTTCTATGTCATGGGAAGACTACAAAGTAAGTATTTTTTAAAGTCACAATTTAGGTTATTTTGAAGGCGGTCTTCAAACTTGACTGTCATGGCTAATCCTGTTTGAGAGGGGTTTAATGTACCAGCAGAAAGACCGAGATGCTCGATAAAGGTATCTCCGTCTTTCAGCTGGGACGATGTATCCTTCTCATTCCAGGTTG